GGCTGCCGCAGCCAAAACAAACATCAACAAGATCCAAATTTTTCAAGATAGATTCTTACGCGCCATCACAAAAGCTCCCTGGCAAAAAGCTTCCGAATGCGCAGTTACATAATGATCTATGATCTATGTATTATTCCAGTCCCTGTCCAATTCTCCCTCTTATCCATAAAATTATATTCCAAAATATTAAAGATATCTTCAGCTATTCAATTTCACATAGGTAAGCAAAATCCTCACCGCAAAAGGTCAAAAAGAAAGTCACCTAGAGAGTTTTTCGATCCTCCATAGATGAGTCGATGAGTCTTTTCTCATTATTAACTACTATATATAACCACTGTATTGTATTATATCTAACACTAAATTTCTGATTATGTCTTATTTAAAATTCTTGTGTATAAATCATATATTAGTGTATTTTTCTTATTCGGCTAGTGAGGGTCAATGGCCAAGCTAGAATAAAAAAAAAGAAAAAACAACAACAACGCCGAAATATATAATATCAGCTTCAACTGATGCGCGGTAGGGATAGTTATTATTATGCAAAGAGTTGGCTAGCATGGCAATATTAGGTTTAATACCGTTTATGAATAATATAATATTATATTTAATATATTATATTATTATATTAATAATATTGATTGCAGTTTGGAGTTTGTAAGAGAAGGAATAATTTGATTTAGGAGTCTAGAGAAGAAATGTTCTTCCTGTTGGGAGATAAATTGTTCCAACTGGAATGGTTGCCCAATGGGAGGGTGTATGGACTGTTAGGAAACATCTGAATATTGAAGCATTTGGTTTGGTAATGATGGTTGTGGAATTCTACGACGGGGGGAATATGGTTCTTGTGGAATTGTAATGGGGATGAAAGGTGGAGGTGGAGGATAGGCTACAGGAGGAGCCCTGGGAGTGTTTAATGACGGGGGTAACGAGATGGGTGGGATTTCATATAGAGGATTTTTTGATAAATTTCACAATCGCTTCTAGAGAACCGATGAGTCTTTTCGCATAGTGAACATTTTGAATCAGTACTAGAACCATCGGTCTGGCATGCGGCCCTGCACATTTGCCGCAACGAGGCGGATTATCACATTCTTTTTTGTGTGTCCAAAAAACTGACAACCTCGATTCTGCTCAGGTCCGGTTCTATGACGACGCTCTTCAACTGTGATAATTGCATTCAACAGATCTTTTAGTTCATATATTTCCCTGCTTTCTGATGACTTCGTAAGAGTGAATGAAGATAAAGGCCAAGGTTTACGATTAGAATCAGTCTGATAATTGTTATTACTGGCAATTTTTTTTACAAGTTCTTAATATATTTATTTTTCACTATACTATGTTAGAACATTTCATAGCACCATAGGAATAGCGGATTTAGTCGGTGTGATAGTACAACCCTTTCTTTGACAAGTGCTTAGGAAGTAAAGTGTTCGACAGTACTTGCTCTGATTTCAGGATAAGGTCCCGGATTCTAGTAACAAAATGTTCATGTTTTAGCAATTTTTTAAATTTTTTCAAGAGTTCCATATGAGCAGGTGTATTGTGAATAATGATTGGAGGTATCTAAATTGGTTGTGAGGAAGGAAAATCTTTTTTTGACGCACCTTGCTCTGGGGCAGGGACGGGGTCAGGATCGAGAGTGGAAAATGTATTCCCGGTTGGGACGTTATATAAAGGCACATTTGCACTATATGGCATGCTGGATCCCTGCACATATGAAGCTTGATTATACACTGCATCTTGCAATCTGGGGCGCTTAAGAGAAGGAGAATGCGTTGTACTTATCTGTGGAGACGGTTGAGAATATCCCACGGGTAGTGTAGACAGCTGCGTGAAGGTTGATTTGCAGATTATCTTGCATGTAGCTGATGTTGATGCTGCTGCTGGTGCTGTAGGGGATTGATTAGATGCGGCTCCTTATAATGGAAGTCGTGAAGTGCGTAGAGAGCTGACGACACCACATATGACAGCGTAGTATCATAATAGAGCAGCCCCTGTTGGAATAGAAAGGAAGTGTCGAAACAATTGTGCCTCGCGGATAGATTACTAGCCGCCCAGACTGCCGAATAACATTTCATAAATATTTGTGAAGCAGCAGGGGCGCGCTCCCACCACACTCCAACAGGCGTGTGGACGATAGCGGCTGAATGTGTTTTTTTAGTGAATGATGGAATAAGCAACTCGTGCGAGTTGCGAATTTTGTTTAGGCTACTGAGTAGCAAACGACAATCCGTTTGTCCCCTCTCTATGCTCCGTGGCCTCCATCTCAGAATTATGCAAGTACATACTACTTATAACTACTTTAAAATGTCGATAATCCGAAATAATAGGAACCGAGGTGTCACATCAAACCAATTGGAGAATTTAGTATTCACGTACTAATTTACTTCCCCAAAAATTAATTTTACTGTTATATTTACATTACTGGTACAGTTTATTAATTGAAGTTTGTCGTAGCGGTTTGAGGGTTATGCTATTATGCCAGGTATTCGATCACGTGTAATAGAAAGTAGGAACGGTATAATAAAATAAAACATAACAACCACGGGCATATAAAATAATTTCCTCCAAAATTAAAATATCAGTTTCAATTTCTAGGGCCCGTGCTGTGACATCAGCCAGATCGATTGGAGAATATCAATTTTGGGGACAATAGGCTGAACGGCTTAGCCGCTAGAGTTGTTCACAGACAGACGTTTTGCCGTCAATCGATTTTTTGGATCGAAGGCCCACAAAACCTGGATTCTGGCTACACCAACTGTTAGATATCCCCCCCTAATTTAGCAACTAGATTTATCCACTTTTTCGTAGTCAGAGCCCGTCAATAAAAGTTTTGTGTCGAAAATTCGCAGTTTTATCCAACAGCATTACATATTTCTGTATACTGCGTAAACAGTAGCGAGAAAGTAAAAAGCGTTCTGAAAACTAATTGAAAGAAACTTTATTAATCATAATCAATCACAAACTTCAGAATCAAGCCTTGAGGTAATTCACTTGGACGAACTTATTTATAACGTCATCCAGGTTCGCTTTCAACGAGTTTGTCACTTTACTCTCTATGTGCTAAGGTTTTATTTTTAATATTTTTAAAGTGGGCCCGAGAAGGGATGACCGTTTATGGAATTTGAATTCTTTGACTTGAGCGTTCTTTTATGTACTAATGAAATGTTACAAATCACGGACAATGAAACCCAGAATTGCCCCCCTCAAAACTTAAAATGAAGCAATAAATAATTAAGGCCCCGGGATGTCAAATTACAAATTTGGAAAAAATTTTCGCGTCCTCATCAAAGAATACGCAATTCGAATTTAACATTAGTCGATTTTTAGTAATAAATCGCTTTCAGAAGGAGTCTTTAAATTGTGTTCAATTACGCAAAAAGAAAAAAAATGCTTTTGAATGCCCCTTGTGTCCAGGGGCCCTTAGTAACTGCATCTGCCGGGTCGGCAGTAGTTACGCCACTGATAAGTAGTTTTGATGAATATAATAATATTATATTTAAGTATTATATTTTTGCGTTTCGTTTGTTCAAGAATTTTTTCAAATGAAAGTTGAAGTGTAAGACAGAAATTGTCATGTTATATTAGATAACCATTAACGACATTGCGAGAAAGTATGTGGTGTTGTAGCTCTATTAGTTTAAAATCACACAATAATTTTTTTTAAATATATCTCGCGGGGTTAATATTTTTATATTAAGAACATTACTTAAATATTGCATTCGTGAATACATGTACTTTAATTGATAAGTATCTCGAAAAATCAAGTTTACAATGAAAACGAACTCAAAATTGCGCATTTTCAGAAACGCTCTAACGACATTTTCTAAAACGCTGCTCCAAATTTTTGAATAAAAATTTCCTTATAGGATCAGGTTTTTCTCTTCTATAATATCCTTAAAATCTTTTTTAAAATCTACTATTATGGAAAAAATAAATATAAACCTTAAAAAAATATATTTTTGACCCCGGTAGGTTGCAGCAGGGAAGTAGATGGGGCAAAACCGAAAAGTTGGCCCTGACTGAAGAGATTGAGAAACTAGTACGAGAAAGAATGTGCTATTCTGTAGCACCAATAGTTTTAATTGTAAAAATTGAAAATGAAATATGTTTTTATTTGAGTAAACGTGCACATAAAATCACGCAATAATTGATAATTTGATTGTATAATTTGCTAATAATTCAATAGAATCCAAATTAAGCTGTGGGCTCTGGAGGCCCTTGAGTCCTTTTATACCGTGATATTATGAGGTTTATTGATTGATGATCGCGGGTGAGTTAATAACAATTGTCATTAGTCCCGTAAGTGTAGTGTGTTTTATCACGGAAGATGGTGGTGATCCACCACTGGATGGCCAGATCCGGCCCTGACCTACCCATCAGCTTGCGGGGTTTTCCCCAACCAGATATCTCCCAGCGGGGCACCTCCCCAGCCGGGACACGCTATAAGCTCTCCACTGAACTATTGACGTGTGGAACTTTGGTGTATGATAAGTGTGTGTTAGTAAGGGGTGAGCATAGAGCAAGGAAGAGGAAGGAAAGATTGCGCGCGGTTCGTGGACGGATTTTATTTGTGTACTGCTGCGGCATTTGCCTGGTAATGGTCGGGAACCCACGGAAAGGTACCGATCAGAGCAGCCGGCCGCTAGAATTCTCCTTCAGGCAACGGCGGAATTCGACCTAGCTATGTAGCTAGTGTCGAAAATCTTTCCACTGTCGGGAGTGCAACCCTAGGACCTCCCGGTCAGAGGCACTGTAGTGACATCAATTGATACCCTGAGCCGGTGGCATTATTAGGGTTAAAATTTGTGTAATACTTTGAAAGTTACGGGAGTGCTGAGGAATTCCGCGCCCGACCGCGATCGAACCCCGCTCCTCAGCGAAGGCTGCCGTGCCGCAGCGGTGGAATGAGCGGCGCGCGGATTTCGCCTCGAAAGAGAAACCGCGGCTTCGCGCGCCGCGTGGGAGGGGAAAGGGGAGGGAGGGGCTGCGCAGACGGCATGCGCAGTGGGGGAGCGCGGGGCGCCCAGACGGACGGCGCGACTCCGCTGCCTGTGGTGGAGCGACGGCGAGGACAGCCAGCTGGACACGCTCCTGACGGCCACGTGGGTAAGACGTCTCACTTTCACTTCTTTCCGACCAACGTTCTTCAATTGTTACTTATTGTCCGAATAATATTACTGTCTACTTGACAGCCGGAGGTGGGGTAGAGAGATGCTGCCACTTACTCGGACGGCAGACGCGGGGTCGTGTGGTCGTTCTTGCATCAGATCACCACAGTAGCAAGAAAGAGATCGCTGTACGAACACACAACCTCAGGCGACACAGAATCACGATGCATAAACGAAGTAACGGCGCTCTTCAATTTTCATTTTCGCTCTGTAATATTTTAATCTCAATAAGCACAGACAACTCTGCAGAGACGTCATCAGAATTTGAACTCTTTAATTGGATAATGAAACCTCCTCTCCACTGTCAGCCCCTAGCTTTCAAGTAGACAGAAATATTATTTGGACAATATGTCAGGCAGTATACTGACATAAGGTACTATGTTCATGAAAGGAGAAAACTATCAGTATTCAATAACACAAACAAGCCCTTTGCTAATGTTTAGAACCATGGGGAAATAAACTGTATATATTAGTTGCAAAATATAGCGTTTGCTTAAAAAAATTGAAACAGAAATAAAGTCGTGGTGCAACAGAATGGCACAGACTCTTTCGTACTAATTAGTTTCCTATTCTCTTGGGCGTCTAGATGACCACCAGGGTCTCCCGCGTCCCCACCGCTCCTCTTGGAAGTGGAGAAGAGCTCCTTCGCACAGCCCGAATGTCGCATAGTTCTGGAACAACGTTAGGAATTTCCCGTGCCTCATATCCAACAGAAAACTTTCATGTCTTACGTGGGTTTCCAATCCGCAGCCATGTTCATTGAGGACATAGTGCCTATAGGCTAGTTCATCTACCCTGCACCCCGTCTTACGAGGCCGTATAACTTGGTGGTCGTAAACGTAATCGTGTGTACTTTTGAAACATTATAGAATAGTATGATTAAATGCGTCCTTTTTATGTATACTTCCCTTTTAATGTCCTTTTTTATACGTATCTGAAGTATTCCGAAATCATTTGTTTCCATAACAATAGCGAAGTAGATTTTTTAGCATTAAAATCTAACAACTCAATCAGTATTCCAGAATTTTCTCAAAATAAGCCAATTCTACATAAAATGTTGTAGAACATAACATTTACAGAACATTTCAGTTGATCCAACGGTTTAGCATTTCTGAAAATTAGCAATTTTGAGCTCATTTTCACAGAAAAGTTTTGAGCTTTCGAGAGACTTCTGAAATTGTTCAAACCAGTTGTGCTTCTTTGACATTCTTCAAAGCAGTTGTGCTCGCAAATGTAATAATGTATTATGAACGCCCATAATGTAAATATTAACGACGTGAGATATGTATGAAGAATTCAATATATTTCTGGGCGTATAAAAAGTTTTAAAAAATTGGAGCCGGTTTTGGAAAAAAAATATTGACCATATTTCACTCAAAACTGCACTAAAACTACTAACAGTTTCAACCCTATACATGACATTATAGAACTAAATGTGAAAGACAAATTTTATTGGAAAAAGTCCATTTTCAGTATTATAGTTGTAGGAGGACAACGAATCAATTTGAAACTTTAGTAATTTGCGAAAATTCTTATTTAACAGTGAATATTCCGGCATATGCCACCTTAAAGTGGGAAATTACTGATTTGCTGTATACTTACCAACGTTTTTTAATTTGTTTTATACATACGTGGCCAGCACCAAGGATGCAGACGATTAGAATAATGAAAAGGAAACTTACCATCATTCATGAAAAATATAGATAACAGTACTGATATCTTGTCAAAGTTAGAGAACTTATTCATTTTTAATTATTAAATACAAATAAATAACATTTACATTATCTAAGTATTAGTCATATTAATTTTATACTCAGGATTGATTTCGTCTCTTGTGTTTTCGATTTTGTCGCGTGATATCAGACTTTTTTTAAAGAAACGCTATAAATATATAAAACTTGGAAAGGTGTACAATGCTTTGAGCCAAAACCATGGATTTCATCATTGAATATTTTGACCATTAGGAAGCAAAATTCATTTTCTTGGAGTGTAGCAAAAATCATTACTATGTTACAAAATACATTACAATGTCTTGTAGCTGTAGTATGAACCACTTTCCTAGTCTGATAAGTACGCCAACATTAAATCCTCGTTAACAATGTTAATATTATTTGTGTTTTTCTAGAAACACAATTTTCATGTCCTTTTGTATATCTTTCTTCCGATTTATGAGGTATTAATTGTTCAATTACTTCATCGGATTCTTTTAATTTCCGTTTCAGAAGCATCTCTTTATTTTTCAATTCCATTTCAAAATGTTATGAGAATTGCTATTGTTTCACAGATATCAAGATTCTAGGGGGCTAAGCGCCGTGAGAATTCGTACGTGGTGAAATATTGCAATATGATATTAAAATAATCGGAAGGAAAGGCGACTTAGTTTGGCATATAAATGTTACAAGACGCGGTCGGACATGTTTCATTACTCCTTAGAAATTGCATCGCCGGCTCCCAACTTCGCCTCGGCGGAAACATCTCACTCGTAATGACATTTTCCGTCCTTATGACGTAAATTACTATTTCAAAATCGCAGCGATTCGAGAAGGGCCAGATCGATCGAAGAATATTCATTTTGACAAAACTTTTACGAATACTTCAGACCCTAGAGTTGTTCAGACCCCCTATAAACGTACAGACGGACGGATAACTTGGGAAAATCAACACTTTTTACGAATGAAGGGTCCCCTAAATATGCATTGTCCTTGAAATCTCGAAATGTATTTTCCGCAGGATTACATACATTTCTCTATACCACGTGTATTACATTTAGAAAGCAACTAATGATACTACAACAGAACATTTTTCATGGTATGGTTTGTAACTTTTGTGAATTTTCTGAAATTCAAAGAGTTCTACGAAAATTTGACTTACACCATTTAAGTGCCATTTTGTAAGTGTCGAAAGCTTATTTTAAGTAAATTACTGGTGCTAAAACAGCACGTAATTTCTTGACAGTAGTTTCATGCAAAATTACGCAAAACAATATTGACATATTGCGAAAAATTGTGCATGACCTTATTTTAAAATCTGTGAATCCTTAATTAATCAAAAAGGTTAGAGCCATTTTTTGAAAATTTGGAAAATGTCCCAAGAGCTTCATGGAAAGCACCTCCTAAAATTAAAATATCGGTCACAAATTCAAGGGACCGCGACATTGATAGGTAAATATCAATTTTGGAGAAAATTGGCGGAAAGATTAGCAGCTAGCTTTGTTCACGGACAGACATACGTTTTGCCGTCAATCGATTTGTCGGTATCAAGGATCCATAAAAAATGATTTCTGGATCCACCACGTGTTAGAGGATTTTTAAAAAAAATAGCTATTAAGTTTATCCACTGTTTCCAGAGCCCGGCCATAAGAGTTTTTGTGCCGAAAATTCGCCGCTTTTTCCCGCAGCATTACATAACACTCTCTCTACAGCGTAAACAATAGCGAGAAAGTAAAACTTCGCGTGGAGGATTAGACGCTTAAACAATTGTGGCGTCTGCGTTTTCGGCGAACTCTGAATTTTCGAAATACATTTGAAAACATTTAAAAAAAACTAGCAAAAGTACAATATTGCTGCTAAAGATTTTTTCCTTAATGAAATTTGTTCCTTAAAGCTAATCTTGAAATAAAGTAAATGAAAATATCAGAATTTATGGAAACTCTATATGAAGATGTTAAACTTTTTTCAACGTCGGGAAACCGTTTTTAACTGTTGGTCGGGTAGTGTCGGAGCAACGTGACTTGTATGCTAACGCTAAGGACTTGAGTTCAAATTCCAGCGCTGAAAAATAATGTTAATTAGAATCATTTTTCCAGTTTCATCTAGTATTATATTGAGAAACCGTTACAAATAATGCGAGAAAGTATCTGCATGTCTTGGCTTGTGGAGAACTTAATTATCATTACCTATGTAGATGGGAATGCACAAACGTTCACTCCATCCACCTACAGGAAAATATGATTTCAATGTGTTTATCTCTAGGCTTGACCGCAAGAGAATGCCAGAGTTTCGACAATGTTTCCACCAGGAGACGATTTCAACTTGTGTGTGATCATCTGATAAGTATTGAAAGAGGAAACTATAACATCGGATTCAGAAAGGATCTAATGCTAAAACTTCTAAAGATGAATAGTAATTTACAAGCTAAACAAAGGAATAAATCACTTCCTCCCCCATTGTTTTCGACTGGTGTGCGTTCAGAAAAGCACCTCAAAATGATTTCCTCCTCTGAGTCAACTCGGCTCGTTGCACTAGGAAGAAACACTTCCCGGTTATTCCTGATTCCTCAAAATATCAGAAGGCAATGCAGCTCTTAATGTATCGTGCGTACAATAGACTAATTAAATTAGCCCCACAATAACTAGTAGTGCTCAACAGCTCATACTTTCTCGCATAAGTAACTGTTACGTAAAATTAGAATACCGCAATTTCTATTTATATTAACACATCTCAACCATGACTTGTAAAACTCATTGCTAAGGAACAGGACATTGTAATAAAATCGCAAAATGTGTACATGTATGCACATTCTAATATATTATTTATTTATTTATGTCAAAAAAACAGTTAAAACTGTATGTGGAGGGGGTTAATGTGAAGTTACATTTATGTATAAAACAAAATAAAAGGCCATCTCAGCATTTTCTCGAGTATCAGTGAAACTGAACGAAAACCTAATGGAGATGGGAGTCATTGACCCGAAACCTGAAGTACAGTACTTGTTACAGGCTCTTTAGAATTATACAGTTCAAATGGTAAATAATACTTTAAATGCTATTGTTAAAATTAATATTACTTTCTTTTTGGATGCTCGGAATAGTCGCTAATTGTATAGAAACAGTTGTGCAGCAGAAACCAGTTTACTTGGGTCGTAAAACTTTTGTATTGAATTTAATCGTTTAATGTCATCTGACAATGTGTTGTAAAATAATGTACATGTATTGTATGT